GGAAGGCAAAAGCAAACCTCCTCTGAACAAATCTTGCCAAGAAAACTCCAGGATAGGGTTGTCTTGGGGTTGCTTAACTCAGAAATGGCTTGAAGGCACACAACAACAACAGAAATAACACCTATGCTTTTGAGAGCCAGGGTGGTGTAGTGATTTGAGTATTGACTACAACTTTGGAGATCAAAATTCAATTCCCCACTCAGCCACTGGTGACTTTAAGCAAGTCACACACTCTCAGCCCTAAAAACAAAACAAAATCCAACCCGGTGATAGGTTTGCCTTAGGGTCCCCAAAGCCAGAAACGACTTGAAGGCACACAACATACACACATACAGCTACACTCCTGTGACCACCAATAGAGAGTTCGGAGATAAATTCATGAATACTAGGATTATTTCCTTTAATGGGTGACTAATTGAACAAAACACATAAAACCCCATATGCACATTTTGAGCAAAGTAAATAACAACACATGTGCCATTTTCTAAAACCCTAACTATCTAGGATGGATGTGTTTTTTAAAATGCATTCTGATGTTGCATTTCAGTTTGTTTTGTTGCTGTCAAAGAGAAAAAGAATCTACTGTGGCATCTGAAGAAGTCTGAATAGAAGAGTAGTTTTACCAAAGTCTTGTTCTTCTACTCCAACCTGAAACTGCAACGATTTCTGGATGAATCCACCCCTTGCAAAAGCAGATTTATTGTCTCTGGTCTCTTTGTATGGTATATCCCCCCCCCCTTATTTTGTTTTCTACCAGGTGGTAATATGAGTCTTTATGGGTAGTGAAAATAAGATAAAAAAAAAAAACAGTTCTGGCAGTCAATGCAGTGCCCAAGGGATGATGGAGTTGTTCTCTTAGACTCACACCACAATTGAAGTTATTTTCATCGGGTCATATCCAACAGAGCCAGCGTGGTGTAATGGCTTGAGTTTGGAATGGTTTGACTATGATTCTTGTTGTGACCCAAGGTTCAAATCTGGGCTCAGCCATGGAAACCTTGGTGGCTTTGGTCAGGTCACGCTCTCTCAGCCTCAGGGGAAGGCCATGGCAAACGTCCTCTGAAGAAACTTGCCAAGGAAACCCCTGATAGGTTTGCCTTAGGGTCACCATAAGTTGAAAATGACTTGACGGCACACGACAATATCCAGCAACAGAGTTTTGCTCCTCATGTGCTGAGTAGCATGGGCTGTTGGCGAGCAATTTCTGCTGTATGCATACAGAAAAAGAGAGCGGTCACTTATGCATCATCCCTTAGCATCATCATCCCCACATATGGAAATCTTCCATTTGGGGCATTTTGCTCGAGAGCTCCCTGACCCCTGGAGCTGATTCAGGTTGTGCCTGTCGGAAATGCAGTGCTCATGAATTGTTAAAGCCAAGCACAGGTTTTCTTGTTCTTCCCATCCAGGGAAAAGTCCCCTCTCCGCTGGAAAAGTAGAGGATGGTTGCCCTGGAAACAAGTGAGGACCTAACATAGTTAAGCTGGAGTATTAACCCTGGCTGGTTTGTGCCTCCTGCAATGGAGCAAAAGCCGTTTCCATGCCAGTCCTTTGACTTAACTGGGTTGTGGATCAGCCGGAAGGGCTCCAGCTGGTTGCGGAGGTTTCAGAGTTTGTCCCAAATCCCCTTTGAAGTCTGCAACACGGCTTCATTGTACAGCGTTCCTGTTAGCGACGGACCCCTGGAAAGGAGCGTTCACTACCCAGCGGTGTGAGTGGGTGGCAAGTGATAGTACAGCGGTGGCCAAGCTTGCCACCAAAGAGTCTCAGGGCATGGGAGATAGAGATGTAGGTAAGGATACTCCAGCATCAGGACTTGGGACAGTGACACTGGGCTCGGCTGGAGAATCGTTCCCAATTTGGAGAATGGTGCTCCAACTTTGTTGCATGCCTTCAAGTCCTTTCTGACTTGTGGTGACCTTATCATGGGGTTTGCATGGCAAGATGTGTTCAGAGGAGGTTTGCCATGGCCTTCCTCTGAGGCTCAAAGTGTGGGACCTACCCAAGATCATCCAATGGGTTTCCATAGCCAAGCCGGGATCTGATCCCTGGTTTCTAGAGTCATAGTCAAACACTCAAACTACTTGGCTCTAAATAGGCATGTGGGGTGACGTGCTTTTTGTTCAATTGGTCACCCATTAAAATAATATTGGCATTCATGAATTTATCTCTGAACTTTCTAACGGTAGCCAGAGGAGGGTAGCTATGGGGTGGCAAAATGATAATAGTGCCCAAGCAATAAGAATAAGAAAACATCCATCATGACGTTTTCCTTGAGTCTCCAAATTTCTAGCATTGTTGTTACCTAAAACTTCCACTGGGCTGAGACTCGAATCCAGGTCTCAAGGTGCATTTTAGGAATGTTAGGAGAATTTGTGTTAGGGGTCTTTGGAAAGTAATCCATCCTCTTCATAGGCTTGTGGAGTGGACCTGAGGCAGGAAAGGGTAGCTCTACAGCAGGAGTGGGGAAAGTGTGGTCTGTGGGTCTCATGTGTCTCCTGGGCCCCAGTTTTGTGGTCTTTAGAGCCCCTCAAAATGATTAATGGA